CGCGCTCGCCGTCGCCCATCAGCACGCTGAGCCGCCGCGCGGGCCCGGCCAGCCGCACGGACGACGACGTGCCGTCGCTGCACTCGGAGCCCGCGGCGCGCAGCAGCTCCTCGCAGGGCTCGCTCATGGAGCAGATCAGCAGCGTGGTGACCCGCTTCACGGCCAACATCAGCGAGCTCAACTCCATGATGCTGTCCACCGCGGCGCCCGGGCCCGGCGTGGGCGCGCCGCTCTGCTCGGCCTACCTGATCCCCAAAGAGATCCAGCTGCCCACGACCATGACGACGTTCGCCGAAATCCAGCCGCTGCCCGCCATCGAGGTCACCGGCGGCGCGCAGGCCGCGGCGGCGGCCCCGCCGGCTGGGGGCGCTGCCCGGGAGAGCCCGGCGGCCGGGCCCGAGGCTGCGGCCGGCAAGCCGGACCTGGAGGAGTTGGTGGCTCTCACCCCGCCGTCGCCCTTCAGAGACTCGGTGGACTCGGGGAGTACAGGCCCCAACTCGCCAGTGTCCGAGTCGGCCCTCTGTATCCCATCGTCTCCCAAATACGACACGCTTATCATAAGAGATTACACTCAGAGCTCCTCGTCGTTGTGAATGTCATTGGAAACCACGCGGGGTTCCGCTGACCGAGCCGAGACCTCCGGTGTGCACACAGACACAGTGACGAGCATAGTCGCCTGGTTAAGACCCGAGGTGGAAGATGCCAAGTACACCCGTAATGGAAACATGAGATTAATAGTGCTATTTCACATCAACCGACGAAGACACCAACTACAAATCTTTTGGCAGATTTTCTTCTAGTGGCCTTAGAAAACATGGGCTTTTAAGAAACTGCTTCTATTTTTGAGGGCTGACAAGGAGGCTGTTGAAACAGTTATATACCAAGTGCTTTGCTCTAGGGAAGCAAGGAGTGTGAAACAGCATAACGGAGGGGAAAAAGCATAGTTAATAAGCAACTGTAAAAAGTTTTGTTTGTTTACTTTAATTCTTTTCCCAGAAGATTCTTTGATTCACCAAACATGAATGTACATTTTCTAACAAACTCAAAATCTGGGACCAAAATGTCAACCTTTCTCTTTTTTTTTCTTTCTTTTTTCTTTCCTTTAAAGACCTTGAAAAGCAGTAACTTGGGCCCAGTTTTTACTGAGGCATTGTTGTGTGTCCCACGCATAACACACAACTGGACAGTGAGTGCTGCGCTGATGTATGTAGGGCTTTTACCAGAGACTTTCCTCTCCCCCGTTTGGTTGTGAAATCCTCTTCTGAAGGCCTGCATCCGGGATTCCACCTAGTTATTTCAATTCACCTCCATTAACCAAGAAAACCAGTGGAAGATTTCTTGACTATTTCACCATGTTGCCAATCAATACTGGAGTAGCAAAAAAAAAAATATTTTCTGGAATACTGTTTTGTAATTCCCTCACCGGGGTGCGTTGTGTAGCTGGAAATTCTCTTTATAATAATAATAATTCTAGAGCTCCAGCCTGGCTCTCTCTTTCATGAAATGTGGCCACTCCTCCTTATGAATGCTGTTCCGTTAGCATTGCCAGCTAAAATATTAAAATATGCATTTGGGCTTCTTCATTCCTTTCTTTTGAGAACCTGACGCACAAAGAACTCCTCTGTTCTTTCAAGTCCCACCACTGGAAGAATGGTCCATACACCCAGTGAAGACATTATCACGATGGGAGGGACTGTTGTTCAAAAAATTAACACAATCTTAATACACTGGAAATTTTAAACTGTGTCAAGTTGGCTTAGCAGAGCTTTAGCTATGCCAGTGAGCAGTGATTTTAACTTTTCTTGGCTGCTTAAATGGGGCAGCTATGAACTATGACAAATGTAGATTTTTCAAAGCAATACAGAATACTAAAACAGAGGAACCTTAACGAATATAAACCACACAATCTTTCTTAGCCATTCCAAAAAGAGGCAAAGCAATTATTAATATTTTCCTTTTTAAAATAATTATTGATATGATTTTGTGCACTTCATACTGTCATTTTTAAATACTGCAGAAAAGAGATTTAAAGACATGATAGAAATACATGTGCTTTGATAGGCTCATAGAGGTAAAATTCATATCTCCAGACCTACATCCACTGTCATCTCTTTCTTCCTCCCATTACAGCTATCCTCAGGTGCCAAATGTTTTTGATTTTAAATAAGGATAGTAATAAAAGGAGGAGGTGTCCTATAAATTTAAAGTTCAGTTGACCCAGCCTTATTTATACTAAAGATAGCCTTATGAAAAAGATTTGCTGTGAGGCAGAAGTATATTTTTAGCAGAGACAAAAATAACTAAAACCTTTTTTCCTTTAGCTCAATATCCTTAATTTTGGTATGTATTTTTCCTTTCACATCTACTTAAAAAAGGAATGGAGATATATTCATTGGCATAGTTTATCATTCACCACTTTTAAAAGTTATAATAAATATACTGCTTGACTTTCCTGATATCTGTTCTTATATTAAATTTTAAATCAAACCTCCCCATATCAAACATTAAAACTAACATTAATTTACTAACATATACATTTTAAAAAATTGAACCTCCCATGCTGGATTTGAAAATAACATCATGAGAGCACCCTGATCCCAAAAATAATGAGACTCTTGAAACAGAGTGAATCTAGCTGAGTTTTATGGTTTAATTGAAAGCAGATGTCTGCCTCTATTTGAACAATTGTAAATATTTTGAAGTATTAATATCCCTATCAAAAGGGTGGCATTCACCTGGGGATTACTATCTTGATATCTTAAGCATTGAAATCTTTCCAAATATGCTCTACTATCTAAGTTTTAAAATTTGTTTCATAAAACTCTTCTGTTGATTTCCATTTTTATTCTCAAGTACAGTACGTTTCACTGCGTTGACCAATAGGAGAACATTTTTAAAACTTTCTCCATGATCAAATTCCTTTTTTAATTTTTTAGTAACATATTTCTTTTAAAAGTACACTACCTTATGAGAAATTTCATTATAAATTAAAATTTAATGCGAATAAATTGCCATCTGATAACTCCATTTGAAATTATAATCAACTGTAATAAGAAAAATAATTTATCCAATTAGAGAACAAGATGTATTTTTCTCTGTGTTTCTGTACCCTTTGCCACTTCATTCAATACATTGTGTAATACATAATATTATTAGTAATGTATTCTTGGAATCTTTTATTTTGGAATGATGCTAACTCTGTCTCTTTGCCAATTCTAATACCAGGTTCCAAGTAATAAATCTACAACACAAAGAGAACTGAATATTCATTCTAGGGCTAGGATATGAACTTCGCAATTCATTTGGGTACCTATTTTCATTGAATTTCCTTGAAAACAGTCTGTTCCTGGTGCCCAGTGATAATTCAGTCGGGACCAGCATGACTAAGAGGAAGAAGCAAGTACAGTGAAATGCTGAGGTTCAGAACAGGAACTCTAAAGGACAGGTTAGTCCCAGGATGAAAAAAGGAAGACCTGGTTTGATCAAGTTATTCGGACTAAGCAGTGCACTGACTCTTTTGTTTTGGGAGAAGAGTGGGGGCAGCCTGAGAAGACCACGTCTGGATTGAGAAGAACCGTCTCTCTGGGTTAGGGGTGGGGAACAGAAAGGGAGTGTGGAAAGGAAAACCATGAGATTTGACCGAAGCAAAGAAAAAAAGCAAATCCTCGAATGTGCTAATCCTTGTTAGTAACAGTCTTTCCCAAGCTTCCACTGTTACCAGCAAGTGATCAGGAAGACTAGGAGCTATTTCCGACTGTAAATGCATTGTATAATGGCTCTGCTGCAGTTCTGTGACTTCCAAACCGGGAATTAAACACTTTTTAAGAAAAAAAATTTCGTATGCTAGTCTCCCAGCAAAATGTACATGTTTTGGAGACTTCGAAGGTATTATCTGAGTTCACATTTAGCCACAGCTTATTAATAACCCTCAAGCTGTCAGAATCTCTATAGTTACCACTTACAATTTTATACTGTGAAAAAATACAGATCAGTGAAAAGCGTAAAGATAAATCAGAACTCACTTTGAAGAGGGTCTGAGGCCTGGGAGATTCTCTACTATCTGTTGAAGAATGAGGCATGTATAAAATAGTTGGCTGAATTTCACTGATCTTCCCAATGTGAACAAATATACTATGTATATTGTGTGTATTTCTAGAATTCAATGGCAGCTGCTGGTGGTGTTGTAATTAGAAATCTATATAGAATATAGATGTTTTAGAGAGATGGTGCCAATCCTAAAAGATTTGTGTGGGCTACAAGTGCTTGTACTTACTTTTTTCTGCACTTTAACTGATTCGGTTTTAAAATTGTGTGTGTGTATCTGTTCTTTTCTGTTGTTGCAGCTTGTACTATTAAAACAATAGAGAATGTTAAATTATTTTGATGTGAATTGCAAATGATTTTTTTCATAAAGTTTAACATTTTTATCAGCATTGTTTTGCTTTGTACTTGTATAAATGTGTTTTATTTTAGCATTTTAAAATACACTTGCCTGTTTCTCAGTTGTCTGAATCATGTTATAGTTGGTGTTTGTGAAGTCAGTTACTTTTTGAAAAATATTAAAAAAGAAACTATGATATGACTTTAAGATTCTTCCCCTTAAATGTTTAGAATGTTGTCTCAACATTGTGTTTTCTGAGACTCAAAGAGGCATACTATTAATTAATCTTAAATTCTGCATGATCCACACATTTGAATTACAGGGTTTACAAAGTAGCCTGTGGACAATAGATTGAGATGAAAATACAAATCAACCACAAACCAACCAGAGATGCTGTCCCCAAAGACATCTACAAATGCCTATTAAGACATAAATAAATACTTTTTTTAAAACAAGGAAGCACATAGGGAGAATACCTTATTTTTTTGCGTCTGGCAATACAAATACAAATTACAGATGTATTTCCACGAGTATCTGTGTTGATAGAGGTAACATTACAAAAATAACATAGATTATGTGTGTGTATGCATATGTATGTGTCTTTATGTGTATGCAAAGATACACACATTTATATAGATATTTTACTTTTGAGTCCATCTATATATGTGTTTGTGTTTGTGTGTGTGTGTGTTTGTGTGTGCAGGTATGGGCATGTCTATATAATTTTCCCAGAAAAAAAATTACTTGTCAAATCACTTTGTACTTTGATGGATTCTTAAGCAAATTTACACTCCCTGAACACAAATTAGCTAAAACCTAAAAGCATAATGTAGGCTATATGCATAATGTGTGGAAGAGAAAGACAATATAGATTTTAAAATATAGCTTCTCTCTGCTTTCCTACATTGTATTATTTATACATGTATAATATATATGTATATTCTTATACATATGGAAATTGATACAGAATATGTTTGATCTTAAAAAAGAAAACCATTTTTTGTGCTTTGTCAGACTCTCCTTTAGTGTCTTCTATTCTGAAGTAATACAAATGGGCATATGTCTATATAAACTTGAGGTTGAAGTGAGATATCTGGACCACATACAGAAAATTATCTTCTAAAGATCAAAAGAGTCTTATAAGACTCCATAGAATCATGGAAGGCCATTCAAAACCAGCTGATGCAATAGAAAAGCCATTGAATTAAAAGT